GCAGCCCCGCAATATAACTTCAACCCGTACACCGGCCACCAAGCAGGTCAGAGAAACGGCGATCATAAAGGCCAAAGGGGTGGCTACAAGGGGAAGAATTTCAACCCCAATTACCAAGAAAGCCGGAAAAGCGGCCAAGCCCCGCCGAACCAACAAAGCGGACAGATGGTCCTCAGCAACCAATCGTAAGTGATCACACCTACAGCTCCTACCCCACATTGAGCTATCATACAAGACAAGTCTAACACAATTCCTTGTTTTTCACACACCAAAAAAAAAAACGACCACGGGAAGACCATGTAAATCCAACAATTCCCTTCATCTATTTCCTGTCCCTCTTTGTTACATCCCCTTTTTCATACTCCTTCTATAGTTCCCGCTAGACAAGAAACCGTTTAGAATAACTTGTACTCACGAAATGTGTCGCTCCCAATGATAGCCCCCCCCTACTAGAAATGAAACGCCAAATGGCATGCTTGAGTCAAACCATGAAATGGTCGATGAGCTCCATTCACACAAGTCAGTAGCGTCTGAAGACCGACGAAAAACACAGAAAAATGGTGGCTTGAGAGAAACGGTAGAAGGGTGGCCAGCCGGTATCAGGTGTGAGATGGACGTAGAAGAATGGAGGAGAGCCTTGACAAGAGCCAACCTCTTGCCCGAATTCCAAGACGTGCTTGATGGATTTGTCCACGGTTTCGACCAAGGGATACCGGCCCATAAGATTGGCAATGAACCCCACTACACCCCACCCAACCATACCTCGGCGTTGCAAGCAAAGGAGAAAATCCAAGAATTGATCGCGAAAGAGATAGAGGCAGGGCGAATGTTCGGACCATTCGAGAAAGAACAAGTAAACAGTATGTTCCCGTTCTTCAGAACCAACCCACTGGGAGCGGTAATCAAGGGAGACGGCTCGATGAGACCGATCAACGACCTCTCCTTCCCACATGGGAAAGGAGGGATCCCTTCAGTAAACTCTTTTGTAAACGCAGAGGATTTCAAAACTACCTGGGACGATTTCAACATTGTAGCAGAATTCTTCAGGAAAGACAAAGGACCGTCCCTCCTAGCGATTTTCGACTGGGAGAAGGCTTATAGGCAGATCCCGACGGCAAGAGACCAATGGGCCTTATCTGATGATTAAAGATTTCGACGATAAGATTGTGCTGGACACCCGAATCACGTTTGGAGGGGTGGCAGGATGCGGCTCCTTTGGGCGACCAGCAGACGCTTGGAAAATGATCATGAAAAGCGAGTTCGATCTGGTAGAGGTCTTCCTCTGGGTAGACGATAACCTATTCATAAAGAAGCCAAGCTCCCGAGTTACCATGGACGACATTGTACAAAGATCAAACAAGTTGGGCGTGAAGACAAATGAAACCAAATTCTCACCTTTCCAGATAGAACAGAAATACATAGGCTTCATATGGAACGGGACAGAGAAGACGGTTCGACTGCCCGAGGGGAAGATCAAAGAGCGCATCCAGCAGATAGAAGTGTTCCTGACTCCAAATCACCAAAGCACCTTTGCCAAAGTGGAGGTCCTGGCCGGGAGGTTGAACCACGTGTCATTCATCCTCCCACAGTTGCAATGCTATCTTTGCTCGCTATATCGATGGTTAAAAAATTGGTTCTCCCATATGGCACCCAGACACACACCCGTCGACGCGAGAGAAGATTTGGCGTACTGGCTCTATACCCTGAAAACCTTCCACGAAACAAGGCTGATGCCAAACCCAGCACCGACAGATGTCGGGTGGGTAGGAGACGCATTGACAAGCTATGGCATTGGGGTCCTCATAGGGAAGAAATGGACCCAACTCAAGGCGGTGAAGGGATGGGATTCCGAAGGAACACACAAACGTAACATTGCATGGCTAGAGACTGTCACGGTTTGAGTCGGGCTACTGATGCTCAGACGCCTGAAAGGGATTCCAGGGAAAACGTTCACCGTAGAAACGGACAACACCACAACAGAAAACGCGATACATAATCGGAAATCGAAAGACCGTGCAGCAAACAAAGAATGGAAGAGGATCCAAACTCTCCTGGTTGACATGCAAGTGAACCTGACAGCAAGGAGAGTGCGTTCTGCGGACAACAGGGCCGACTCCCTGTCAAGAGGGGACAACTCGGGTCACAAGCCGGAAGACTATGTGCAGGTAATCCTTCCACCAGACTTAGAACTACTGTTTGTACATAGCCTATAACAATGTTTCATTACCTCATCTTAATGACAAACTTGACTCACAACAAGATCCGTGACGGACGTTATGTGCCCCTGAAACGTGTCCCGTCACCCAAGGGAGACAGAGAGAGAAGACACCAGGAGTGCTAAATAGCGAGGTAATCCAGCTCAGTACCTGAGGGGGAAGCAAATTAGTACCACCAAAGCACGACCGACAACACAATCAGCAAACAGATGGCCCCCCTCGAATTATCAAAACTAAAGGCATTCTTGGCTGATGGATCCGAACCACGGGAACCACTCCCGATTGACATCCACTACCTGAAAGGTTTCAAGTGGAACACAATAGTGAGCTACAACACAGCAGTGAAGAAATACATGCGTTTCAAAGAAGCAACAAACGGGATACCATTCCGCCTACCGGTAAGACCGGAAGAGATATACAATTTCTGCTTTTGGGCGGGTCGAAATGAAGAGATCCAAACGTCGCAAGAAATAATGGCAAAGACGATTGAGAAATATCTCTACGGCATACAGGCCTGGCACGAGTATCATTCAAATACCTACCCAAGAGAAACAAAATCGAAAGTGGCGACATTGCTGAAATCTTCAGCAAAAATAGACGCTCAAGTGCCGGCTAAGGCGAAAAAAGCCGCAATCCACCTAGAACATTGCCGAAACGCTGCAACATAAAGGTGCTCTGGGAGGCGCAGTACTTGACATGGCATTGACGGCGTTCTGGGGGATGGCACGCCTAGCTGAAGTAACGTACGCAACGGAAGAAGGCCCGATAAAGAAGGCCCTCTCCCTCCTCACTTCAGATGTCCAACAACTAGAGGCGGGAAGCAACAGCGTCCTCAACCTCGTCCTCCGGAGCGCAAAGACCTGCACCCCGGGAACCGTAAAACTACTTCAACAGAGGAACATAGGAGGCCAACTGTGCCCAGTTAAAGCGATCCAGAGCAGGCTAGAAGAAGCCGGCGGCAGAGAAACATCGCTATTTGGTTATTTCGAAGACGGTGTGAGGCACCACGTCACGAGAAACACTGCCGTGGCTATACTCAAAGAGGTCTGGGCCAACGGGGGTTTTCACAGCCTCTCAGGCCACTCCTTCCGTGTAGGTGGAGCATCACTGAGGATGGCAATGGGGGTCCCTATCGAGGAGATCTGCCAGCTGGGCCGCTGGACATCTAACTGTTACAAGCTGTACATAAGAGAGTACTCCAAAAAGGAACTCGCAGAGGCAAAAATACGGAAGCCCATAGGGGACTCCAATTGGCTCACAATTTTGAAAAATGAAAAGTGAAAAATTAAAATACAGATTTCTGTATTCCATTTAAAATACAGATTTCTGTATTTTAAAACTTCAGAAATCAAACATGTATTTTCAAATGACATAAGTCTTTTACGTGTTTTACCTTCTGGCATTGGAAAAATGAAAACGGACTTCCTCCTTCTGCAGAAACATACCGAGGAAGCAAAACTTGTCTCCTAGCAAGAGTCATCTTCAAACATGTTATAACTAAAAATGGAATAATTGAACCAGAATGCTATGTCTTTGCTTCAGCAGGAAGAAGCTGTTTGACTTAAGAGCAGATTGCTCTCGTCGGTGGCCAGCAAACACTATCCTTTCCATAATCTAAGCATTAAAATCTTCATCATGGTTACATGCTTGAAGTGCACCAGATTCGTCACCCAGACCGAGTTTGGTTGGTGTTGTGAATGTCTCAATTTTGTCGGTCTTATGCCTGGAAATATGGCTCCCCAGTTGCCCAGTCAACCCCCAAATCATTACAACATCATCCCTTCTTACCCTCCAGCGGCAGCCCCCACACCCTCTATATTCCAAGCGCTTCCCGCAAATCCAACAACACCAGCAGCTAATTTGGCCCAATGCGCGGGTTCCAACGCCCATATACGGAATATTAGGAAGTCAAAGCGTACTAAAAACCCTGCTCCTACTCCTTACTCTAGAAACCCAAAACCTTCTGTGTCAGCAACACTCACTGAGAGTCCAATGCGAATGTTCAAATGTGGAATCTCGTTCTTCCAGGACAAAAAGCAGAAGAAAACCGGTATCATGAGTTACATGCGGCAGATTGACACAAGCCTTCCCAATTTATACGAGACTCTTCAACACCAATTATGGCAGTTGTTCTTGCCCGAGCTCCTACGCAAGGAACTAGTCGAAGGTCTACCCAAAAGCCCAATTGGCCGCACATCTCTAAGCCACAACAAGAGTGTTCTGGATCCCCAGACCCTCCTCCTCCTTGTGAAGCAGTCGACTATAAAGAAGCCAGTTCAGATTGACCTGATCTATGAGGACAATGGAGAAGATACCGACACAATCCCTGAAACTGAGACACCGGCTGCAACTGAAAGGTCCTTGAGATCCCAACAAAGTTCTGCGACCTTCAGAATCCCATCACCACTTGAAAGTCAGATTGTTCCCCGTCAGACTTCTCACATAACTTCTCGTAGACACAACGAAGATCAAGCATCTACCCCAACAGCTGTGGCAGCTAGGCCAACCAAAAACTCTTGGGCACTTGGTGGTATTGCAGGTGAGCTCTTGTAAATTGTGCAGTGGTGTGTAATATTGAAAAAACTGACACGTATTGATTGTACAAAGGCACTGTGCCTGCTCGTGGAAGTGCAAGCCTTTCAACTCACATGAATTACCTTGGCCGACCCCTGTCAAGCTCACTTGACATCAATCCTGAGGGCTGGGTCATTGCCCACAGGCTTATATTTAATCACAATGTTAACTCCGCCAAAATCAATGCATCACTTAATTGATACCACTATCTCAGAGCCACCACTACTCCACTCACTGTCAAGGTTGATCACAACACGCTTGTTGGTCAAGGCAGTATGAGGAGAGCCTTTTCGGCTGAGGTCAAGACTGAAGGCCGGAATGGAGGACCACCACGCATCACTCACTGGGTGGCAAAAGTGCGATACCACAATGAATACCCAGACATCAAACTCCATGCTACCAATGCCCGAATGTATGAGGCAGCTGGACATCTCCTTCAAGCATACCAAGCAGTCATCAATAGGTGCTCAAGCAATCTACTCACTGGTGTCTTGAGAGAAAAGGCAAAGGCCTTCAAGGTAATCCGTTTCACTTCATGTCTGATGGCTCAATTTTAATTACTCAAGTCATGTTTCTGTATGATAGCTTGTCCGCCATTGTGTAATATTCATTGGTGAAGAACACCTTCCAGCTCAAGTCTACTTTTTGGAAGCTTGCCTCCAAGGGGAGTACGTCAAATACTTGAGCAATGTTAACTTCTCCGTCACTGGCAGGCAACCTGGGATGGACTTAGATAACCTGTCTATCATGAATGCTTTTACCCATTGGTCATATGTCATTTCCAATGGGGCTAGCCTTGTATGTGATCTTCAGGGAGTCGGATCAACCATCACAGATCCTCAAATAATTGATCGGGATTATGTGTAAGTCTAAATTACATGTCATTCATAGCCCTCTGCTAGGTTAACTGATGTGTTGTTTGAAGTCGTTGGGCCGATGGAAATAATGCCTCCAAAGGAATACAAAATTTCTTAGAGAATCACATCTGCAATGATGTCTGTAGGGCTTTGAAGCTTGGCCCTCCCAGTGATATCGTGCCCGAAGTCACCAATCCAACTCCACTTCAAAGATCGGTTCAATCACACGTTGCCCAAGGACTCGGAGGACCAAGTCAAGCAGCTGGGTTTCCAACTGGGTCTCGTGCAATGACTGAGATCCGTTCCAACTCTGGCATTTGTGCAAACCCTGCCCCAAGTCATTCTTCCATAGGTAACTTACTCATGACAGAGGTCCATGATGATACTTACCCAAACATGGATTACTTTGCATCTGAACTGAATCATCCAACTGCTGACCGTACCCCTGTGAACACAAGTGGGAGGTAGCCGAATGCTGGACACAACACACCTCATTTCCATTGCTTCTCTTGATTTCTTCACATGTTCTCTTCCAGGAAATCTGCCACGGTCTGAATTCCTCACTTTTTACTGCTCAAAACTAGTCAATAGCGTGAAAATTACACTCATTTAATTCACAACAGTGGTCAATCCATGAATTCTTATTTTGTTTATCTTTTAAATAACCTGCATCATGAGTGAATAATTTCAAAGTTGTTTCCTCCCCTTCATTCATGAGTGACTCAAAATTATGAAATTCATTTACACTTTTCATTATGAATACGCAGCAGGAATTTCAATTCTCACTCGCATCTGAACATCATCAAAACAAACCTAATCAATTTTCCCTCGCACCCCATTAAAACAATTTCGATCATTCCGATACCAGTCTTTTCCCCACACGCTTATTCAGATAAAAAGTGGAGAAGAGACTGGTAAGCAAAATTCTCTAACAGCATTCAACTACCCGATCGACAACAACAATGAACTGAAATCTTTTTCTTTTATTCTATTTTCACTTGCTTGTTCTCTTCTATTCTTTTCTAGATCTAAATCTCACGCGTGTCCTCCATCATCCATCATTCAAAAACAAAAAACAAAACATAAAAACTGCATCGTTGCAGGTATGATTATACTTTCTTATTATTTCAACTATTTCTAAATATTTCATCTAATAACATGTTTTTCTAATATTCTTTCCTGATCTTTTCATTCTCTTTTTCTCTAATCAGGTGTGTCGAAGTAGTCAGAGTCAGAGTCGTTGGAGTCGTTGTTTCTCACATCAGTCTTTTGTCATAAAGGTTCGCTAAACAAAAATGTTTTCTTATTTCTATTATTCTTTTCTCAATAATAAAAAACACGCTTATTCAGATAAAAAGTGGAGAAGAGACTGATCTAAATCTCACGTGTGTCCTCCATCATCCATCATTCAAAAACAAAAAACAAAACATAAAAACTGCATCGTTGCAGGTGTGTCGAAGTAGTCAGAGTCAGAGTCGTCAGAGTCGTTGTTTCTCACATCAGTCTTTTGTCATAAAGGTCGCACTTCGGATTCTATTAAAAATCACATGGTAGCGAGAGATCAAAATGTCCGAACGATCAATTTCAGTACAAGCCCGAAACTGAGCTGCACAGAAGACGGCTGCAAAGAATGCTGCAAATCGCGGAGGACTCGTCCTTGGAGCAGATCAAGCTCACACTTTTGCTATGGCATCGATGCTGAACAAGATCAAAGGAATTGACGACTTAACCGACAGTAATTACACGTCCTGGTCGAAGCAAGTGATGGGACAACTAAACAGCATCTTCTTCAACAGTTATCTAACCGACGTCCATTACGAAGACTATGAAGTAGAAATCGGAATCAATCACATTAACCAAAACTGCATTCTGGAATTTCTCTTCTCAAAAATGGACGAGACCAATGCTGCAAGATTCAGAGCATCCCTGCTCGAAGTGAAGATTCCCTTAGTCCGAGAAATGATTCCGCCAACAGACGAAGAACTCGCAGCTGATCCACACGCCCAACCGACACCTGGCAGACTAGTCCCTGCGATGGGCAGACGCCCTGGTCATCTATGGGAAATAGTCAAAGAATTCCATCAGTCCGATAACGAAGCCAACATATACCTACTCCAAAACAAAATCGAACAATTCAAACAAGACTACAAGACATCAATCTCGACTCACCTCGACGAATTCTCTAAACTCAAAAATGAATTCCTGAACCGGGGAGGATTCATTGACAAATCTCTCCTTGGTAGACGACTACTACACTCTATCCACAACACCCACATAGCCGAAATCCAACATATATTGTGAACCGTCAAACCAATCACGACCCAATCAGTCACCGCCGCTCTCAAAAGGTATGAAGACGAAAACAAGGAATTTCAGATGTCATCGGGAGGGAAACACACCGAAAATATCAACTCCCTAAAACTAGCCAACAACACATCCAAACCCGGCTCACCCAAGTCAAAATGCACGATCAACAACTGTTTAGGACCGCACCCAGCAGCCAAATGCTTTAGACGTCCCGAAAATGCAAAGGCTGAACGAGAATGGTTCGAAAAACGCGGCCTCAACCCGCCAAACCGACAAGCTCACATTGCACATGAACCCGAACCTGCACAACTCACTCAGCCTACCGGCGCAAACCATACGACAGTCATAGCCAACCCCGAACCCACAACAAAAAAGAACTATGTTTTTGTTGCATACGGAAATGAAGTGAATCTCGTACATCCAAAGTTCGAAGCAATATGGGACACAGGCGCTTCAAGCCATATGTTCAATGACTACATATTCTTCAAGAACGTTAAGAATACATCCCAGACTCAAGAATCCATCATGACCGCGGGATCGGAAGAACTGAAAGTCGAAGCTAGTGGCGAGGTTGTTATCAAAGGCGTTACAATTGAAAAATTCACACTTCAAAATTCGCTATACATCCCGGGACTTCGCAACAATCTCATCGCTGCAGGTGCTCTCAAGCAAAAAGGGGCCATTGAAGTTGCGAATCCGAATGATCCAACCAAATTCATCATTGCCTTCGATAACGAGACGTTTCTTCGGGGACGATACGTGAATAACCTAATGGTGGTCCAGATCGAACCGGTCAGCAACAATTCCAACTCAAACAACACAGAGAATAAAACTGACCAGCCCAATTCTACCTTAGATCACAATCGATTAGGACACATCAACCCAGTGTACCTCAAGAAAACCCTCGACAGTGAAGGCGATAAAGGCAATAACCCATGCGATACATGTCGACTTAGCAAATCCACGAAACTCCCCTTTTCAGGAACTAAGCCATATACTCGTAGCCCTTTAGATAATATCCATATAGACCTCAGTGGAATTATTAGAACATCTTGTATATTCAATTACTCATACTTCATGCTAGTTGTCGATGAATACACGCGAATGACATTCATTTATTTCTTAAAAACCAAAACCAAAGAAGAAGTGTTTGAGGCGATAAATTCGTTTATATTGCGCGCCGAAAAACATTGCGATAAGAAAGTTAAGATGATTACGACTGACGGAGGCGGTGAATTTATCAATTCATTGCTCATTCCCTTCTGTGATTCCCTCGGTATAGTCAAGAATACAACGGCCCCATACACCCCACAACAAAATGGTTTGGTGGAACGTTTTATGCGTACAATCTCAACGAAAGCAAGAGCCCTGCTCATCCAAAGCGGAGTACCGACCCGGTATTGGAGCCTTGCTTGTGATGCAGCGGTATTCATTCAAAACAGAGTATACAACCGATCGCGAAACGGTTTCCCTGAATCTGCCTATGAACTTTGGTATGGTCACAAACCGAATCTCAAGTATATCTGTACTTTTGGATGCTTGACGTACATCCAGAATAGGTCAGAAGAACGAGATAATAAATTCAGTCCAACATCTCGAAAGGGTTTCCTGGCAGGTTTTGACGAGTTCAACCGAAATTACCTGGTTTTTGACTACGATAGCCATCGCTTCGTCAATACTCATGATGTAACCTTTGACGAAGTCACCTTCCCCGAAAAGGGAGATGACGTCGACGAACTATTTCAAATTGAATCAGAGGAGATGATCAATCTGGAAGAAACATCAGAGTCAAAAATAATCGATGACAGCAAATCATCCGCACCCACGGAATCTGACGAGGAAGACCAAAATCCAATATCTCAAGAGACAGACATACCCAAAACCATCAAAGTCATCCCGCCAAAGCCCCCAATTGATCACCCCGACCATCCGAACTATGTTAGACGATCAACACGAATCGGAAACCAACCCAAACGTGCATATCTCACTGGGGTCGAGCAAGGAAAAGCGATCCCCGAAAACACAGATCCGAAATTTGAACCAAAACACTTCAAGGAAATCCAACACTCCAAATTCAAAACACGATGGATCGAGGCATGCATGAAAGAAATTAAGGGAATGAAGGATAAAGGTGTATACAGTCTTACTAGCCGTCCCAAGAACCGAAAGGTGATCAAAGGAAGGTGGGTATTCAAAGTCAAAACCCTCCCCGACGGCAGCATATCAAAGTACAAGGCTCGATTTGTTGCGAAAGGGTACACTCAAGAGGAAGGTATAGATTACGACCAAACATTCTCACCAACCGGTAAACCATCATCGCTTTGACTTGTAATTGCGCTTGCAGCAAGAAACAATTGGATCATTGAACAAATGGACGCCGTCGCTGCTTTTCTCAACAGCGACTTGGACGAAGAAATTTACCTCGAACAACCCGAAGGGTTCGAAGAGGGAAACAAAGACAATGTCTGGCGCCTCCATAAATCGATCTACGGACTCAAGCAATCCGCTCGTCTATGGCATCTGGAAGTGGAGAAATACTTGAAGACCATTGGTTTTACAAAGACGGAAGCGGACTCCTGTGTATTTTTCCGAAATCGAAATGGGAAGATCAGTATCATATATCTACACGTTGATGATATGATTATCACGGGCAACAAGATCTCGGTAGTCAAGAATGAAATCAAAGAGAAGTGGGCGATGGAAGACCTGGGTATAGCAAAGTTTGCTGTAGGCATCGAAATTCAACGAGATAGCATTGGAAATTACTTCCTTCATCAACAAGGGATGATCAACAATGTGCTCCACAAGTTTGAGATGTCAAACTGCAAACCCGCATGCACACCTTTTGGATACAACGCCAAACTGTTAAAATCCACCAATGAAGAGTCGGCCCGATTCACAGCAAGAAACAATCGATACCGTAAGGCCGTAGGGTCCCTAATGTACATTGCCATATGCACACGCCCCGATATCAGCTTCGCAGTTGGAGTTCTGTCCCGATTCCTAGAAAAACCGAATCAACACCACTGGGATGCATTCCTGCACGTGTTACGTTACCTCAAATTCACTCACCACATGAAGATAGGCTACCGCTCTGGTAGAGAAAACTCACTCTCCGCTAACCCAAGCTGGAATTTTCCGACGATGGCAAGCGATGCCGACTGGGCGGGTGACAGGACAACACTACGATCAACAACAGGATATGTCTTCAATTTCATGGGAGGAGCAATCAGTTGGCGAAGCAGGTTACAACCAACAGTTGCATTATCATCAACCGAGGCCGAATACCGCGCTATCACTGAAGCA